CCGCGGTTCAACGCGCCACAAAGCGCCGGGACGCCCACTCACACCCCATCCTCACACACACCTACACGCACACATAATTCTCACATATACAAAGGCACATACAATCTAGTCTCATACATGGACATATCAAAGATATACACACACATGACATGCGTGCACACGTACGCACACGGAGGTATACATGCGTGCATCCACATATGCATAGGTAGACTCACACAGATATATGTATAAATACTTGTATTCTATATATGCATATATATATATTATACACACACACATACGTATGTGTATAAGGAGAAATATATATGTATATAACTGGACTGAGGATATTTATGCAAATTGGTATTTTTATTGAACACAACTAAAAGAGCAGAGATCCGGGCAGAGGTTTGTTTCGTCTAACAGATGTTAGAATAGATAATGTATCCTGGATATTTCGTATATGTTTGCAATTACAGGAAGCGCGTTCTCTGCACTTTTGCGCCTTTAAATTTTCCATAAAAAATCCGCGGTACATATGCGAATATGTTCCATGTATTCCGCTCTTATACAGATACGTGTACAGCTGCGTATATGTATGGGCAGAGAGTCGTAGATTCGAATACAAAGGCGAGGGAAGAAGGCAGGAGTCGCGACGCGTGAACTTGCACCCAGAGGCGCCTCCGACCACCCTTTGGCCGGGCTGTATGTAGCGAATCGAGAACGGGGAGAAGGAAAATCTGGAGGTGGAGAAGGGAGAAGGAGGGACTGGAGTCCTAGCACCCGTGGCCGATAAGATGGCAACAAGGATCGATTCGTAGAGACGACTTCTCTCTGGCGGTTTCGGTTACGAAGCTTCTTATGATAGAGTTATTGGGGTTTGTTAGGTTCTTCCTGGAATTTCTGCATAGATTTTCTACTCTAACCGTTAGCCACATCTGTCTGTCTTTTCTTCTTCGTTAGCTTTTCTATTTCAAAATCACTTCTTCTTTGGGAAGAGCACGATGACAAAAACGGGGAATTTTTCTCCAAAAAACGATTAAGATTAGAAATGTTTAGCCTGTTTAAGATCTGTTGGCAAAAATCGATAAATCATCTACATTCTATCTTTTGCGTGGTGTTCTAGAGGAAGCCATTTCGACAAATCGACCAGCTACAATTTCAAGAAACACCGTCACTTACACAGCAACAGGAACATTCTACGACGTATGAACGTCAGGTCGAAACGATTATTCCTACCACGAACTACTGCGAACGTCCGGAAGTACGAACCTCCGATCATAACGATAGAACGTCAAATTACTATGAACTAGGAATAACGAAAGAAACTTACCCTGTCCAGGAGCTGGCGACGTGGCGTGGCTCCAGCCTCCTTTGTACGAGCTGCTGGCATCTGTAACGCGAAGGAAAAGAGAAGCTCGCATAAATACGAATCACAGAATCATCAAAATAAATCTTTCGACACTCAGACGTCATAATTTCAATGAAAATAACAGTTTACAACACAATGTTGAGAGAAAAGCAGCGCATCGATCGAGCTATAAAATGCAGCCCAGGCACGTGTTACATTCGCTTCGCGATCCCTCACGAGAGATTACACAATTTTCTTTTTCTCTGTTTTTTAGGTCAAGTTATTAGAAGACGTATACCGTCTGCAATTGCAAGGTAATCAGTTCTGTGAATCGCTTGGTGGCCGTAAAGTATATCTGATCGCCGCCTTCCAGCGAGTTTCGTTGAAAAACAATTCCTTAAGAAAATCTTTACGACCCCTTAACGATACACCGCCTTCTTCCAAGTCCGTGCGCTTTGGAAAATATGATCCACCGGTCTCGACGATCGATTAAAATCGCTTTTCGCGTGGCGAGAGGACGGTGCTTGCGAAGTTTGCGTTCCGATCGTCGAGAACAGTTTCTTCGATTATCGTTAGAATGGCTCAAAATAATTAGTAACGTTTGCTACAATATTCTGTCCATTGCCATCTTCTTACATCTGTGGTCCAACGTCTCGTCATACTGTGGCTCACTGCTCTATGCATTTTTCAACAGATTAAAATACCTCTTCTAATTCTTAGATATCAAATTTCCACATTACGTTTAGTTTATCACGATATTACGTAATCAGCTATATGCGTTACATAAATGACATTTATATTTTTGCTAATAAATTATATTTATGTATTATTTTTATATACATCTATATATTTGCTAACAACATGCAACGCTATTTTAAACAAATACAAATAAAATAGAGCAATCGCACTGCGATGTGATATTGGATGATATTGGACCATAAATACAAGAAGATGAGCAAAGGAATTTTTTGTATATTATATAAGAATGAATTTATGAGAACGCCATATAGCAATATCCAAATATTAATGCGAATCACTGTACCGTTTTTTATTATATTTTCCAAATACTGAAGTACTCTACCTATATTCTATATATCTAAAATCTGCTATATTTATCCGAACACCTATATTTATCTAAGATATTTATGTTAACACTGCTGTCACGGTGGTGATCGAAACGCGTGCACGGTATTGGTTTCAGGGACGTCGCGATCATCCCTTAGGAACCTTCGGTCGATTCTTCCGGCGGTGTTTCGAGCGCCGCCGGTCTGTTTGCAGACAGATATATTTTCATTTGGCAGTTATTGGCACGAGGGTGGCTCCCATGTGTATACACACGCGGTACGGTACGTCATGCTCGCAGAAAGTCCGTCTTTCTGTGCAAACAGAAGGCCTAGGTGTACGAAACGAGTCAACCTTTCGTCTTTATCATCCCCTTCATTTGATCTGGAGACCATGTTCCATTAATAGGGCCTCGGATTTCACGTTCACGAAAACGTCAGGGACTATTCGTGCGCTAATGTACCGTTTCAGCCTGGGAATCATCTACTCTCTTCCAATTACCTGCTCTCTTCTCTGGCTTTTCTAGTTACGTCCATTCGCATTAGAGGGGAGAGCTACTCTTTTTTAACGGATCGTCGCCACCTTTTTAAGCAAGTGAATGGTGGAATTATTTGCGGATTGTTGTGTTCGCCGAGCTTCGTTTATGATACATTTTTTATTCAGATAAAATACCAGCAAATTTCATTATAAAGTTAACGAAGAGCAACAGAAGGAGCCTCGAGTGGTTCAAGTAAGATGACCTGTTTTTCTTTTCTTATAAATAAATATAGAGATAAGTCCTTCATAATGAAACTATAATCTTATTGTAAAATTTATTTACTGTTATTTGTTACACGAGGTTGTCACGTAGTATTGATAAAAATAATCTTTTTGCAGGGAAGACTAGAATCAGCTTGTCTTATTCGCCACGAAGAACTTTATCGTCCAAAGTCTGTGAATCTCTTTATTTAAGAAACTGAAAGGTGTCAGCCCCTTCAGCATCAAACGCGACAAAGAGAACAGAGAGTATCATTGGAAAAATCAAGCTATTCTTTTTTGTTATTTCGATGCATTCACTTGTCGTGAGGTTCCATGCACGCCATACAGCGTCAAACGAAACCATAGTGCCACGTGGTCGCACATGGATCATCGCCGGATCTAGATCGTCGTTATCGATTTATATCTTTTATATCTCGATCTTGTTCTCACTTTTGCGAACGAACAGAATTTATAACTTTTTAAAAACTATTTAACGTAAAATTGGGACAAGAAATTTATTAATAAGATTTTCTTTTAGCGTTACGAAGTACGCAAATAATCTCGCAATAACGAAGTATCAATGACTATAACAAAAGAATCTCTGAACTAAGAAAAACGTACACGATAGGAAGAAACGATAGATGAAATTTTAGAAGAAACAAAATTTGATCGAAACGATGAACAAAACGTGACAGGTATGACTCTGAGAACTGAAAATACAAAAATATTCTAAAAACGTCAGAAGACGTTAAATTGAATAGATTGCTCGACCAGGTCGTATCAGGTCAATTAATTTCAAACTAAATTAATATTTCGATCGATCGTAAACTACAGTTGTTACACTGTTTACAGAATCAGCTGCCAAGGGATCGATATCACCGGATTAATGGAGCGCATGGGGGCCCAAACGAAAGCCAGCCTCGCATAAAATAAAGAACCGCGCAAAGCTGAACGTGTTTCACATACGCAAATCGACGAACGTACCGGCGAACAGCATGGATAGATTGGTGAACGCCGTGGTGCGTGGCAGTTCCGCGGCGGTGGTCCCGCTGCTCTTAAGGTCCAGCATCGCGTGGCGTTGGCCCGTGTACCAGCAATCGCTGGATACGCTGGCCTACACGGGATATCTACACCCCCCTGTAGTGTCTCGAAATCACGGCACTACGAACGTCCAAACCGCTGGTAACCCCGTGGCCGACCAATCAAAACGTCTTCTCATAATCAAACAAGTATACCTCTCGATGAAGTGAAGAGAATGCAACCGAACCAAATGACCGAAACCTACTTCGAACTCGTTCGAACGGAACTTCTGGAAGAGTGTAAACTTAATCGACCAGATGCTACGAGGTTTACACGGTGGCGTCTACCTTCTCGATATCGATATTAATAATAAAAATCACGACACAAAGGAGGATCACGAAGAACGAATTCGATCGTTCGAATCTACGATACGAGTTGGTTGTCTGCGCGATAAGGGCGCCGATCATCTTGGCGACCCGCTCTGAGTGACACTGGCGGTCGAGGAACGTCTCTAGGGGCAGTGACGATGATCGTGCAACCTTGTCTCCGCCCATGAGTCTGGTTTTCGTTGAACGAGGCAAGAGAACGGCCACCAGGGGTTGGCTCGTTGATGTGGCAAGGTAGGCGGGGTTTATGCTTGGACTTACACCCTCGAACCAAGGGGCGGATGAACGCCTGCGCTCTGTATAGGGTGAGAACCCTGTATACAGAGCGTGTGAGGGGTTAAAGAAGATGAGAAAGCGAGAGGAGAGTAAAAGAGGGCTGAGAACGAAGAGAGACGAAGTGTACGTCTATGTGTGCGTAGAGATGTGGAAATGTGTGTATGAAGAGGAAGAGCGACGGTACCAGGTTGCTAGGTGGCCGGGCACGAACGTACCGGACCTCCTGCACTTACCGACCGGCGTTGTCGACGACGTAGTTTGCCCCGGTAACGACGTGCCACCGGTTCCCTTCCGGAACAAACCCTCTGTGGTAACGGTGCCCGTTTAGAGAGAGAATGGTCAGGGAATTTTGGCAGTAATGGGCCAAGGTGTTTCCATTATTCTTCGCTTCGGACATTTTCTATGCTTCTTTCTTTTTACACCTTTACGGCCTTTACGCGGTTCGCAGTTCTTCTTAATTTTTGTTTGTCTGCTTACGTGGTTAGCGTTGTTCGTTTGATTTTGTCCTTTCTTCTTTCTTCGTATCTTGGAATTTTTTTGCAACATCACAGGCTGATTCTTTGCAGGAGGGAGACGAGGAAGAAATCTGACAACTTTCAAGAGAACGAATCCTTCAGCTTTCTTTTCCTTTCTTCTGTTTCTTGCTCTCGACAAGAAGGATTAGAGGAATTGCTTGGCAAGATCGGGACAAAGCATTTCCATTATTTTTCAACCTGCGTGTTTTCCACGCTTTTGTCTCTCTATGATCTTTGCGTGTTCTAAAACTTCTTTTTTTATTCTTCGTTTTTCTTTGTGTCTTGTACAATTTCTTGGACGGAGAAAGCAGGGGCAGTCGAGGACTTTATTTCTTCTGCTTGGTTCAATTTGATAAGAAAGATCGGAGATGTTCCCTTTCCCTTTCGTCTTCTAAAAAGTTTCTAACAAACTTCCCCTTAAACCGAAAACAACGCGGAGAACTGATTCCTATTGATCAACGAATTTTCCACGGTTGTAAATGCGAAACATTCGAATTATGTGGTGAATATACAATAGCGAACGCGGGCGATCGCAAGCTGTTTCGAGCGTGTTACATCGTAAACTTTCTTTGTCAGCATTATAATTGTGGATAAATAATCAATTAATTAAGACAGCCTCATGTTTTCGCGGTGCAAAGCAGATTTTATGGAAATCACCGTGGATGTTATAACCACCCCTATGGGGCGGTGGTGGCCAGAGGCAAAGGGAGTAATTGCAATGGAATGCAAATTGCGTTAATAACGGGGTCATCGCGTAATTTTCATCGCGACCGTTGCCCACGGTACCCGACGGTATAATTATTATAATTTCCCGGTGAAAATATCGGCCCGTTAAACGATACCCATTGACAAGGGAAATCTGCGGCGACCATCGATCGACCGGCCAATGTGGCGAATTAAAAGCTGATTTCTACGATCTCTATCTCTGCTTTCGATATCGTTCGTTCATCGTACAACATGCGAAACAACTGTAACGTTTCGGTATTTCTTGCATCGAGTTTTCATTATACAAACCTCTGCGAAGTGCTGTCCTAATAATATTGAG